TGCTCTGCTAATTGGGCATGCATGCAAACTTGTGGGAAAAAAAAATTAGATTACTCTTGCAATCACATTCAGCCAATTTATAATTCAATTTCAGGGAATCTGCATGGCACCGACTTACATCATGTTTTGAAAGCATGGCTGCATATGGCTGGTGTGAGATAAACAGGGAACTGGGACAGAAGGCTTAAAGATGTGGCATTATGTCCTAGGGGAATAAGCAAAACAAAGTGATTTTTTTTTTYCTTTCCCGGTAGTATTTATGYATGGTTGGTGCTTAGTGAGATGATCTTCCCGGGCTGTTGCTGATTTTGAAAGGCAACAGACTGTATAGTAGCAGTTATTTCACAAAGCTGTCACACACAGAAGGACTGTGCTGTGGGACTGACCAGCAGCGACTCAAGTGGAGATAGGAATTAAATCCAGATGTTTAATTTGTTTAAAATCACAGAAAAAAATCAAATTATTAAGTGGAGAAAATGGAAATTATAGGAAAAAAAAGAAATTAAAAACAACACATAATTTATCAGCAGCTGCTTCTCAACTCAGGGGAAAAAAAGACATAATCTACACATAGTTGCCAAATAGCAATACTGGTTAGATCCATGTCCTTGCCTGCCAAATAAATATTTAGTCTGCTGGTCAGCCTTGTTCCCTCTTACAGTGAAGCATAAGGGTAGCCCCTGTGGCCCAGGGTGATCAAAGATGCTCTGGCATGCTGTGAACATCCACCAGAACACAATGCAGGCATTGCTCTAGGGAGCAAATCCTGTAGCAGGATCCTCTAATCTTGATATGAAATGTCTTTTTTATGTGCCCATTTTCACAGTTCTGAATCCCCTGCTTCTTCATAAAGCTCATTCATTTGCTCTGAACTCTATCTTGCTGCAAATTAACTGATCTCACCCTCCACCCTATGCAGCACTAAAGCACCAAGCCTCCAACACGACCTGAACGTGTAACCCAGCAATAAAAGTGCTATTCTGGCAGCCAGCAGCGTGGCCCAATTGCAGTGCTTCAGACTGAAATGCCACCAAAAGAAATGGCTGTTTTGGACATAAGGGACTGATTATTGCTGTGACCATCAAAGCGGTCAAGCCCCTCTCAAGGAGCCCTGGTGAGGGCTCTAGGATGAGTTACAGCCAGTGAGGAACTAGATTGGGGCATAGGCTGTTGGCAGAGGAAATATAAATACAATGCATGAGAATGAGGGGAGGTGATGATGGAAATGAGGATGAGGCAGGGTCTGACCTTGGAATATATCTTCATCCCATTGAGTTTGRGAGACCTGTCCCCAAATAGCTAAATAAGGACAATTTGCAGTAAAGAACAGATTTCTGTGCAAATGTTTAGCCTAGTGGTGAAGGAGCTGAATTTGTTTGCAAGAATTGGYCTAAAGAAATGGGAGCTGTAAGTGGAAGGAACAATTTTCCACCTTGAAAGAAAACYTTTTCAGTGTTCGAAGTGGCTTCCAGGTAGTAATTTGTTATAATTAAACTAGAAGAAGCTGATTCTAAAAGGAGGCTGGCCAATTAGCCTGGGATGTCAATTTTTGTTTGCCACTGTCAAAGTCTGTTAAGGGACCTTAATAGATTGCTAGTTGGCTTTTCTAATGAGATAATCCTTACATGAAAGACAGGCAGAGAACCTGGTGCAGGGAAGTGGATAGCAGTTGTCCTTAAAAAAAAGGTAGCACTTGCCAACATGGGGCTTTAAGGTGACTCAAGTTCCACTATGACTGAGCTGTGGACAACTGGATGGAGAGGTGAGGCCCCAGATCAAGATTAAGTAGAGTAAATCACTGTAGGAGGGCTTCAAACAAAGACATAGTTCATTTGTTTGGGGTAAAATCTGCCACTCTTGAGCAGGACTATCTCCTTTGGAGTGAACTAATTTTGTGATCACAGGTTTCGACAGGAAAAGTTCAACATGCCACATTTTAATCTGTTACTATTTACTTTGCTCCCAGCTTTAGTACTCCTTTTAATATATGGTAAGTATTATCTTCTTAATAAAATCTACTGAAGGAAGGCAGGTGTTAGATAAAAGCTAGGAGACAAAATTCCCATGGTTTTAACCTATATAGCTCTATTGAAAATTATTTATAGTAATAAATGTTGTATCCTAGCATTAAAAGTCCCTTTACTAAATCCAGGCTATGAGCTATAACACTTTATAGAGTTCTTGAGGCTGATAATTGAATTTCTAAGCATTTAATTATTTCTTTTTTGTGTGCATGTGTGTGCATGTGCATGTGCGTGTGCGTGTGTGTGTGTGTGTGTGTGTGAAAAATCTCTATAGATAAGAGAGAGGAACAGAGAGGCCCAACCAATAATACCTCCCGCAACATCAGAAATTTGAATATATGATCACTCTGAGCCACTGTATCATGCAAGAGCATATTCACAAACACATCTCAATCTCCTGCTTTCAGGGCCTGAAAATGTCACCCACTCTCTTATGGAACTAGTGGTACCTGGCATAGTCCTTAGTGATTGTGTATTGACATGCACTGCCACATCCCCACTTATGCTATCRGATGAAGTACTGTTGCAAATCTGATTCTCCATAAAACTTTTGAATTAAGCAGAAACTTGGGGAGAGGAAAAATTTCTAGAAGTCTGAAGGAGAGATTTTCAGTTTCTATAGATTGTTACAGCATGACTCATTAACACAGCCCAGAACAATATATATCAACTGATAACCTGCTCTGTGAATTTAGGATCAGTATCAGTAAATTTTTTTTACTATCAGTAAATTTTGTTTTGCAATATAAACTTAGTCATTTCCTTATAGTTAATCCTATCAAAATTATTCAAGTTTATTTAGAAAGCCAACAGTTACTCCCTGTGTAGCTTGTCGGTCTGTGACTCACCTGGCATGTTACTGAGGATATCTGTTGCAAAAATAAAGGAAGTATTGCTTAAGACTTTTCTTAAAAATGCTAGCCAATATATTCTACCGCATGGGAGGACACAGCAATTAGCACTCGAATCCATTTATTATTCTCAAGATTTCTTTTCCAGCATGTACAGATTGATTGGTACTATTTTTTATGTCTCAATTTAGAAGAGAATGACAGTTTTCCTCGGTATTGTGGTGTGCATTTTAGCTTGCTCTAATGAAGACAAATTCCTCTCAATCAGGAATGTTCTGTTTATTAAGTGAGACAGATGGCAGCCTTGCTGTATTGGTAAGGATTCCTGGATTTTGAACTTATTTAGGGTATACTAGTTTGTGTTCCCCTGCTAAAAAAATGATCAATATTTCACAAGGAAGAGATGTCAGGTTCTGTCTTTACAGAGTTTTTTGCAGTATATACACAATTCTCTATTAGTAAGCTGAAAATCCAAAGGTTCTACAATAAGGCAGAGAATACATTCAGGCAAATTTGTAAAACATGGTCCAGCAGATGTGTTTGTCTTTGCAGCAAATTAAATACACGCTTCTAAAGCTCTGCAAGGACACAGTGTATTCAGTTCTGGAGGAGGATGTGTSTGACTAAAAGGGATGTAGCACCCCTTCCTTTTCCTTGTCTCRGATCCTAACTGCAGGACCTGGGTTCAAGGCCCCCAGCCTTTAATCTGCTATTAATGCTAATTAACCAGCTATAATGATTGAAGACAGGAAACTAATGCTGAAATGGAAAGTTCAAAATAAAATTGCTTTGATCATAGGAATCTGTGTTAAATGCCCGCATGCTGGATTCTGTCCATAATCTTAAGTGTTGATATTAAAATATTTCAGGAGTAGATAGGAATGTATTCAAATAAGGCCTTATTCAAATATTACAGATATAAAGCAATTCACAGTGATCTTTGTGATGGCTCAAAAAGGGTATCATTCAGTTGTGACAATCTCAAACATACAAATTACACAAGGATGTTGTCTTCATTTAAGAGCATCCCTCTTTTTTGTACAGTCTGGCTTCACACAACAAAAAATACATACCATCTGAGGAATATTTAATCCTAGGAATACTAATAAAATGTTTCATTCATTTGTCATATTTGTTGATACTGTCTTAACACTTGCTTCAYACCTGGCTTCAGGGAAGGTTAACCTATGTTCAGACTATGTTTTCTCCAAAGACAGTGCAGTCTTTGCTTTAACTAGCTAGGAAATGGGTGCAAGTAGCACCACACACTTCCTTATCTCCTAAAAATGACAGACTCTGCCTTCATTATATTTGCTAACATTTTGATAGATAACACAAAATTTAAAAAGGAAAGAATCAAGACAAGCCTTCATGTAGGTCAAATCTGCACAAATTTGAAATGCAAGTGAAGCATGCTTCAACAGAAGACAACAGGCTCATGTTCTGAAAGTTAGTGGATCAGAAATTATTACCAGCCAGAGCAATTAGGATGMTTATGAAGGAAATTAGTGGCTTTCTTTTGGGCTTCTAGTGGCGAAATGAGTTTTACGTATCAGAAGAAATGTCCTTCCTGACAGTCCCACTAAAAAAGCCACAAACGGAGAAGAACTAAAGAGGGAAGACCTACTGAAATTCCTACTGAATGCTGAGGCATGTGGGTCCTGTGGATAAATAACTATTGACAGTGTTTTAAATATTAAGTAAGAAGAGAGAAAGGAGTTATGTTAAAAAGACTACCAGTTCCCCAAAGAAATTAGCTTTTGTGTATCACTTTATACTAGTGGTGACAGAAAATATCACAGTTACATACTTTTTTTTTTTGTCTAGAAGTATTTACAAACAACTTTACAAACTTTTATACACATTTCTAGATTTTCTTGTTTACTTTTAAATTAAGAACAAAATTAAAAAAAAATCCCCAGAAGCCCCTAAGGCTGCAGTTTATGCCTTTACTTTACATTCATGTGTGGCTTCTTCCTAGGAGATGGAGGAAAAGAGTTTAAAAATGTGCAAATCACAGACATCTAGACAGCTCTGCATTTAAGGGTTCCTAGATATTGGCATCCATACAGGATTGCCATTTTACTTCTCTTCAGATCACAGAAAACTACTATCGGTGGGCTGAGGACAAGAGAGAGAGAGAGAGCCATACACAAATTGGAAAAATTAGATGAGTATTTTAGTGCTGGAACATATGGCCAAGACTAGTCATAGATCAATTTCTACCGCATGTAGTAGTTCAAGCAATATAAAGAGTGGCCATAGTAAATTTTACATATAGGATTGAAAATGTTCTCTTTTACACTATTAGTATTTGATTCCCAATGCATATTTTGATGTCAAAATTACATTTTGTGAACACAGTCTTGACCAGGCCCAGTATGATTCCATCAATCAAGAAATACTAACTTCCTCAAGAAAAATGTATCTTTCTCAGAGTTTTCACTGTTTGCTTTGTTTTTGTGCCTTAACACTAAACATTGTAAAAATCTTGAAATTAAAAAAGAAAAATTTACAATTTACAGGTGTCCATATAAGTAAATTATTCAAAAATTCAAGATCATCTACAAGGAGCTACCAAATAACAATGCTGATAATGAGCCTGTGGGAAGAATAATCCACATGCCGTGAGGAACGGATGAGGTGTTTCTTCCAGAACAACAAGTCACAAAGTTAGTCTTTTCTTCTATCATATTTCTTCACAGAGAGCAGAAGCCTTGGGAAAATGGTGATTACTTATTTCGACCTAAAAAGAAGAATATATGAGTTACTTAAAAATGAAGATTTCCATACCTTCTAATCTATCTTTTACTTTGCGAATATAAAATCATTCCAACCAAAGGTTAGTTATGAACAAACAAGCAGATATAAAATCCTCTGGACATTAATTTCCTCAGCTGCAAGAAATACAAATAAGATCAAGAATACATGGCTGGATATGAAGGAACAGCTTTGTATTTTGGTTTAGTTTAAGATCAGGTGCACCATACAGGAAATAATTCTTTTTCTTCGAAGAAAAATCCTGTAGCTGGTAAACCATGCTTGAAGTTCTCAAAATAACAGATCCTTTTCAGATTAATATATTTTAACAGTAAAAGCTTTCTGCTCACCAGGCTATAAAATTTGCACATGACCTGCTTGCCAACACATACATTCACATTCACATTCACATTCACATTCACATTCACATTCACATTCACATTCATATTCATATTCATATTCATATTATTTACAGTCCTCACTACAATCACATGCCTTTATTAACCTGTGTGTTCTCACATATCTGCTTGAAAATCACCTTTTCTTGTGTAACCTAGAAGAAAAGCATGATGCTCATTCACAGTGATTTCACAGTGGTAGAGTGTAGAGGAACAAACAAATCAAATTCACAATCAATCACAGCAACCCCTCRCATGGTGGAGACTGCTGCACTGTCAGGGTTTCTCAGTCACTGGGTCAATCTGTGAGCAGGAGCTCGYACTGTCCTTAGAAATGTTATTTCTCCTGTGCAATTAGAGATTCAGTGTCTCTCCAGATAGGATTGACCAAGGCTATAGTAATAGTGGATCAGATCTAGTCATTCAAAAAGGAATGGCAGGAACAGAAATTTTAACCTCTGGCAGCCATTAAAATAAATAAATAAAAATTGAAAAAAAAAATGTAAACCAAATTGCAGTGTTGTTTTCTACTTCTAATCCCCTAGTTTCTCTTTTCCATCAAGCAGCATGTGAAAAAAATCCTCATTACCACCAAGTGACCTGGCTGTTGATGTTGCACTTGAAACATGAAGACACAATAGTTTTTAGTCCATGTACTTTAGCTCCAAAGGGAACAGTTTTTTTTTTTTTTTTTTTTTCCCATGCCATCTCATGTCCTCCTTTCTGCACATCTTAATTTAACCTATACAGTTCAGGGTAGTGATTCCACTCCTGCTTGTCTGTAGCCTGATGAAGATACAGGAAGAAGCAACAGCAATCAGAAAAGCTATGATCATTCATATTTGCATGAAGAAATGTTCCTTGTGAGAATATGTTCAAGTTTAACCTCTTCCCATGGGTGAAAAGAACGCTATTTTTAGACATGTTAATCATTAATAATTATGGCAGCACTAAGCATATATTAAAATGAATATGAGTGCTCAGAAAACACTATACATGTCTTCTGCATAGTTTCATGAGGCCACAGACCTTGTATTTTCAACTTGCTATGTTTAGTTTATTTATGAAAGAAATAAGATAAATGAATGAGAAAGGGAAAAATGGATATAAAGTCAAGCTATCATCTGTAAAAAGTACATGCTAGTCTTTCCCCATGAGCAGGGTGGTGAAGATGGCAAAAGATTTTTAACACTTATCAATAGCAACCATTTTTTATGTTMACCTCTGTAGAAATGGAGTTTTTAACAGCATGGATACTAGAAGTAAAATTTCTTAGGGAGACCCTCTAGTTTGCAGCAAAAACAGCATTTCAGGAAATATTCATGAAAATGCAGATTCCAGTACAGGGAAGCTACTACTTCCACTGTAGGTAACATTATGCCAAACGCCAAATCATTCATTATTGCTTATTTTCATATATTAATGYAATTCCTGCTCTAGTGTATGATGCACAAAAGGCCCTAAGGTAAATCTGAAGACAGAAAGCATCAGGCTAACAACTTACAAGCACCTCACAAGAATTTCTAAATGAGTATATTCAATTTCAACAATGTCCTTTGAAGTATCACCTGTTTGAAGTTATCTGAGCTTCTGCCAAAATATATGAACTGCTAATATCTTCCCGTACTTTAATTTATTTCAACGCAAAATGGTATGCATTTCCTAATGGAAAATACTCTATAAGGYAGCAGAGAGTACTTTGCTGGCAGAGACTATGAAAACTATGCTTTAACTAYAGGAGCAAATAACTGAGAAAAAAGAGCTAATGAAGTTCCAGTGAAAATCTACAGATCGATTTGAAGCTGATTAGTAGCTTTTAAGCATTTTTTTTCCAGCAGCTAGTCAAACATATAAAAATACATACATTGCTTAAAGTTCACTAAGCTTAGTGGAGTTTGTGATGTAATTATGCTATAGATAAATTCCTGACAAATGATCATTTTAGTAATGAGCACCAACCCTACTTTGTGATAAGAGCTTCTGCTTTCCTATAGGTGGGTTAATCTCATTAGTGCTGGTGTAGTAGCAGCCACACACTACCCAAGTTCTTACTGAGAAGTCAGCAAGTGACTCCTTCCTTCACCAATAGCCTCTCCTTGCGCTAAGCTAAAGCACAACATGGTGGACGTAGTGATATCTACTAACCCTTTCTTTAGCAGATATGCCCCCAATGACAGATTGTACACTTAATCACATGTTTTATGTGGATTATTTTTTAATTAGGTTATAATTAAAATATAATTMAATTATTAGTAATCTCATGCCAAAATTATTTCAGGAGAGGGTTAGGTTTCAGTCCAGTTAGAAGGATTAATGTGGTCCCTTGGACCAGAACCTTACCTACGGGCTTTAGAGGCTTTAATTCAACATGTTCCTGGGGGGGTTGTCGGTAGGAGTATGTGTCAAGTCCACCTATGAAATCAACTGAAAATACAACAGTTCCAGAAATGAACAAATGGAAATGAAAATATGTCAACTTAAAGATAAATATGGACAAATTATATTAAAAAAAAAGGTCCAAACTATTAAGCACATGTATAGGTTTGCATGCCAGGATTAATCAAGTAGGTAAAAATACTGTGAAATAGGCTCACAGAAGGCTCTATACTCTGTCTTTGGGGTATATTTGTCACTGTGCCTGGCAAGGTAGRCTATGAACTGACCCATGAGTTGCTCTTACTGCCGCTCTTGCTTGCAATAAGAACACTTACAAATCTGCCGTGTATGTAAATAGTAACCAATAGGAGTTAATGCAGCTTTTTCTTTTTAGGTTCTCAGTATATATTTCATATTTCATTTGATCCAATTCTTTTTGAAGCATTTAGAAATTTAGCCTGTGGAAACGTTAGAGTACTTAATCTCTGTGAAACACCTTCACCCAGGGTTTTACAAATCCATGGAGTCATGGTAATGTAACAAAAAAAACAGCAGTGAAAACCAAAGAGGTTACACAGGGTTGAGATGAAACTTGTGAAGTTTATATGTGAAAAAGMAACATAATCTTTTGTGAATGAAATTCTGCAGACAGGACGTATTTTCAGAATCCTTCCCCACTTTGTCTTAAGATTCCAATATCACATATAATGCGGAGATACATGTTAGTGAGAAATTTTTAGTTCCTTCTGTGGTCATGTTGATTTAGAAGGGCTTTTATTGTTCCGGTGTAGATCTGGGAAATTCACAGCACGTTAGAAATCTTTCGCCACATGGAAAGCAATTGCTGTTTTTTTGCACCACAAGAATATATTTAGGTCCTAAATAAAATTAGATCCTTATTGTGCTAATCTCTACATGAGTATTTAACAAGAAACATCCCCTTTTCAAACAATGTATTTTCTGGGTAAACAATGTAAAGGACTTTTACCAATGAAGGGATGTAGACATAAGGCTTAGAGATTGAAGGACTGAAGAAAACTCCCCTGAAATCTATGGAAATACACCTGTTTTGTTTAATCGCCTTTCCTCTTGAGTTCATAAAGGAGTAGCTTGGCTGAAAACTGAATTCAATGCATTTCAGTTATGGGCCATCATCTTAGCTGTAAGGACAGTTCCTTAAAACTCTTCAAGCAGGATGTAATGCTGAACAACTTGAATGTCAACCCTATCCGACAGATACCTTCTTCCACTATACTGTAACGAAATAAAACACCATACATGGCGACTGACATAAGCAGTAGTGGGATCTTTGCAGATCCATTTTTAGAAAAGGTAGTTTTTCAAATATCTGCTTGTCTAATACCATACAGGCCTTCTGATTCATTTTTCAGAAGCAATCATGTTCAAGTAATAGATTCYGGTTGTTTGGTTATGTACTGCAGCTTTCTCCGATATCTGAATAGGATTATTTTTTACTGGGGGCATGTGATACAAGGAGTTAGCAAGTACATTTTGGAGATAATTCAGAACCACTTGTAATTCCTTTCCCACTGATAGCAAACACAGTCCTCTTGCTTCTGTAAGCAGGAAAAGAGCTTAAGCGAGATTAAAATAACTAGTACTGCTATCACCAAATCTTTCAGAGAAATAAATGAAGTTAACACGCATTAATGGTTGGAAACATATATTTGTTTTTGTCTGACAAAGAAAATATATTTAATAACACCATCAAAAATGTTCAGAGGTCAGGCACTCACATACATATAGATGGGCCTTCATCTTTTGCTTTCCAAGATAGGCGCTCTATTCAGCTAAAGCTGAAGCTTGACTTGGACCTCATATTAAGACCATTCTGCACACAAGACAATGAGATGYGCTATATTCTGTTACATATTCTATTTTTTGGATGGATAGTTGATAAATCTTTAATATGAAAATTCATTGTCAGCAATTTAAATTTCAAATTAGTTTTCATTTAAAATATTCAAACTAATTTTACCTGATGTTTCCCACTTCTGTCTGCTAAACTCCCAGGACAGAGACCACAAGGGAATGGCAACCATTAAATACAGAGTTTTAAATTTTTATTCTCATTCTGTGTGGAAACATTACCATGTGCCTTTCAATTCAAACAGACATCTGAGATATCCAAATTTAATCAAATAAAACCTTCTATTTAGTGAACTTTAGGTTGTATACATGCATTCCTTTGTTTAGATGGTCAAGAGTAAAAAGCTGTAACAGTGGTATAGGTTTCCAAGGGGAAAACATTAGACTGAGAGTGATATTGAATAATTGATTTTGTTTTATTTGTGACCTGGTTAATGGATTATGTATGACACCTGCCATATATTCATAGGACTACATCAATTWACTTCAGAAAGCTGCATATGCCTGGAAGAAAGTTCAGTAAAAAGCATGCACACACACACACATCCTAGGCAGTTCTATTCATTAAATTACCTCCTTGCCTGAATTCCCCTCCGAAAAACCCTATGTACACACACCCACATACACAAAAACAACAAAAACAAAACAAAACAAAAAATACTATGACGTTGGCATCAGAATATTCTGTCACTAGAAAAGGAATACCCCATGGAGTATAGTCATTAAGTACAGTCATGCAGAGAGAATCTTAAAGTCCCAGGGAGAGGATTTTTTAGCACCCCACAGATAATAGCAGGTTACAGCAGAAACTGGTTATTTTATCTGCAGCTGGCTGCAAAACATGATCCATATTCCCAGGGAATTGCTCCCTCCTTGGGTCACCTCCGTTCTGTGGTCATGCTGGATGCCTAATGGCCAGTGTGAAATGTGCTTTCAGAGTTCATTACCTGCTGCGCTTGCAAGTGCAAATCCACACTGCTGTCCACTGCAGGTAGTCTATTAAAATGATGTTCAGTCACTCATGGGTCACCTCCGAAAAAGAGTTGTCATCATCTGCTTGAGTGCATAAAGCACAGAACACTGCTGGCTGAAGAAGGTGAACCCACTGTCATCAGTAATTTTTGAGGGCTATTCTTTTTTAGACAGCTGACACTCAATATGCCTAATTAGTATTAATACAGTGCATTCACGTATATGCCAGTTGCAATTTCCTTTCCTTTGTAGGTTGTGCAGAAGAATCAGAGATGTGGGGAAAAAAAAAAAGATCATTTTTCCTTTCCTACACTTTCATYTCAAGTTCAGCTTCTCTGAATGTCCCACTGACCTGTTGGCAGGTCCTGTGCACAGAGCTGCAGGAGCTTGACAGCCCATTGGTATATTACTATATATATTTCCAAGTAGGCATGTCTGGAGGTGCAAGGTATGAACAGAGCAGTGGTGTGTGGATCACACAGGTCTTAGTAAATCCTGCAACAGCAGTCTCTGGAAAGTATCTTTTTTWAATAGCAACAATATAACCCAATTACTTTAATTAAGGAAAGATTGTGAATGATGGAAGGTGCATTAAGTAAGTGACAGGGCAAAAAGGAGTCAAAGCCAACATGAGAGAAAAASCAAAAATCGAGAATTGATAACTCAGATTCTGTGTATAAAGTCAARGCTTACTTTGGACTTGCCAATGTTTGAATTTGTAGCTTATACAAACTTTTCAGATAAGCATGGTTCATTTTCTGGGTCTCACTTTTTTTTTCTGTTGCCTTTCATTCTTAAGAAATACATTGCTCTTGTATCTGTCTAATCTGAACTAGACAGATCCACCCAGCTATCTGTCAGGAAGAACACTATCTATTCTCCCATCTTTATAAGAAGTCTAAGCACTTGAACCTCAAATTATAGCAGTAAAAGACTCCTATAGTATCCTACATTTCTTTGCTGGGTCCCCAAGATAACTTATTATACATGTGGATGACCACAGGAGGGAACATGCATGTGAGATAATTAAGAAAGAAGTGACATCAGTAATAGAATGTGACACTGTGATTTTTTTTCTGGTTCTATAAAGTGCTAGCTGACAGCAATCAGCTTAAGGCAGAAAAAAGTGACAGAAAACTACTAGAAGGCAACCATTTATGTGAATTTTTATTACTAAAGGCTGGAATGGGAATATTTCAAGGTTCCACAGTAATTTTATCTGAATTGGCACTGCATATTCTCTTTATTTTTCACCCAGTGAGATAGCTTCTTATTTTAAAAACTGCCCCACATTGTAACACGAGTACTGTTCTGATCACCACACTTTTTTTTTTTTTTTTTTTTCAGGACTATGCTGAAAGAAGATCCCTTTCTCAAGTCGCCTTAAAATAGTCCCAGCATGGAAATTTTAATAGATGATCTTTGCTGATGAACAATCTCCTTATTTTTTTCAGTTTTCCGATGTCCAACATATTAACATCAGGCATGAACAGGTTTTTATTTTCTAAGGACACTGAGGCCCTGTAAAATGAAAGAGGTATGAGGAATATCATAGATATTGTTCAGACCTCATCACAGATCCATCTGGCCAGCCTGGAAACATCTTTCCAAAATGTTCTCTATGCCATGTCTTGGAAAGCTGTTAACAATTCTGCTATTCCTTTGCCAAAGCTAAAAGGCAGCCTGCCTCATTATATTTATTTATTTATTTATTTTATTTTAAAGGAAGAATTCTCCATCACTTTCAAGTCATTAAGTTCTCTTAGCCTTTGTCTGATAAAGYCCCTAGAGTATGATCACCGCACATGAAGTCTATACACTTCATGTAATATCCTTGTCAGAAACTTATCACTCATTTAGGATGAGGAAAGAATGTACTTTAAACTGTAAATATGTGGAATTTTTTTAAAAATTTAAGGTTAAGCACATATATATTTTTCTTTACACTGTTGTCTACAAACTCCATACTTAAAATTTATATTGATGAGAATAGGTACATATTATACTCTCTCTAAATAGATTTCAGGGCCTATTTTTTAGCAAAGCAGCTTGGTCTGGGCATCAACATCCCTTACATCTGTCATGGTTGGCTCTGACTTATGTACTCCTCTGCAACGTTGTTGTTACAACGTATTTCTGATTTTATATTTTCTTCCTACATAGGTAGTTATTCTGTTCTTCATTTT